CCAGTGTCTCACCACCCTCACAGGGAAAAACTTCCTAATAGCTAATCTGAATTTCCCCTCTTTCAATTTATCTCTATTACATTTTATCCTATCACTATAGTTCCTAACCCAGAGTCCCCCTCTCCAGCTTCCCTGTAGCCCCTTCAGATCCTGGAAGGTTGCTATGAGCTTCCCTTCTCCAGGCTGAGCAGCCCCAACTTTTTAAGCCTGTCTTTATAGGGGAGGTGTTCCAGTCCCCTTATCAACTTTGTGGCATGTCCTTCTTAAGCTCAGGACACCAGAATGGTACACAGCACTCCAGGTTGGAGTACAGAAGTTGGACAGTCAGATGATGATCAAGCTGTAAATAATCATCAGCAAAACTGACTCACTCCTTTCAGGAGGCAGCTGCACCCCTTCCCCAATTTAGCACCTGCTGTAAGGCCTGATTCAAAGTTTGCAAGATGAGCTGAAGCCAATGTTACCTTCCTGCCACTCTTCTGCCTGCTGTGCCCTGCGCTGGGCTATCAGCCTGTTCCCCATGTTCCTGCGGCGCCGCGGCATTCCATCTGCGCGCTCCTCCGCCTGCGGCCGAGGCCTGGCCACCACTGCTGCTGCTGCTGCCACATGCTGCTGGTGCTCCTGGTCAGCTGCAAGAGGAAAATAAAACATTCTCACTTAATCTAATAATTCAATCTGGTTTTCTCTTTTGTCTTCATTGCTGAGTTACACAGAATCACAGAATCAATCAGGCTGGAAAACACCTCTGAGAAATCAAATCCAACCTATAACCTAACACCACCATGACAACTAGACCACGGCACTAAGTGCCTTAAACACCTCCAGGGATGGTGACTCCACCACCTCCCCGGGCAGCACATTCCAGTGTCTAATCATCCTTTCTGGGAAGAAGAAATTCTCCCTAATGTCTAACCTCAACCTTCCCTGGCACAGCTTTAGACTAACTTACCAAACACTTAAGACCCAGAAGTACTTTTTTTCCCCTTCTAAAATTTAATTTCTAATTTTAATTTTCATTTCGTACTTGTGTGACTTAGACGTGGATTCATCTGATTCAAACCTTGGGGCATTCGTGCTAAAGAGTGCAAGATGTAAATCATTGTATCTGAAACAAAACCTGAAGAGCAAATAAGGATCACAGATTACATCTGAAATAAACACAGTTACAGGGTAACTTCATTCTGACTCACTGATTTAAAGTCCCAAAAAGACATGTAGGGCCAGGCAGGACATCAAAGGTCGCTCAGCTCTCACTGCCATCCTCTCTGCACATCCTGCAGTTACTAAGATCTGACAAATGAGCTATATCCTAACAGGAGCAGCTGGGAGGAGGGAACCGACCAGTGGGTTCATTTCAAAAGTTCTCCATGGAAAAGTCTCCAACAGGGCATTTTTTGAGACCTTCTGTTGCTATCAACTCTGGCAGTCATGCCAAAAAAATCAGATAATGGAAAGATATCATCATCCTTGACACCTGCTTTGCATATTCCGTTGATAAGCCTAACTGATATCTCCCTACAGTGTCACTTGCTTAATCCTGCAAAGTATTAACCATTAGGCCTTAATTCAGGCAAATATTTCAATGGTCTCATGCAAAGCTGCAGAACTACTCATTTACTTCAACTCAGGACAATTTTTTGTGCTTTTTTGGATTATATTGTGTCCCAGCAGGAGCACAAAATGCTTTCCACACTCTGCCAAGTCTCCAGCATCCTCTGATCCAAACAACGCCTTCCTAAAAAACCCTACAATTAGCATATCTGTGATCAGAAAATAAGATTCATTATGCCTCCATCCATGCAAGGATCAAAGGGGTGTTTGCAGCTCACCTCACTCTATCTCAGAGCTTCAAAGCCACTGACTTTGGTACTGATAAGGACACAGCTGCAGCACTGAGCCCAGCACAGGCTGCACAGCAGAGTCAGCCGGGGAAGGATTTGGCTAGCAAAGCTCTCAGCAGGTCAGGATTGCTGCAGCAGCGATTGCAGCAGAACCCCAGCAAACTCCTGCACCAACACACACTGTGACATTCTGAACTGAGTCACTGCCCTGTCACATTGCTGTCACTCTCTTCGATCATCCACCTCTGTGGACAAAACTGGTCTGTAATAAATCACAGAGTGCAGGCTCCAGAGGTCTGATCATTTTGCTTCAAGGCTTGCCCAGTCTTATTCACAGCATAATAATGCTTATTTCTTCAAATGCTATAGGGCACATTTTATTGCACATCACTTATTGGACACTAATAAATGCCAAAATCACTCTCCAAAAACTCTCTATACAAATGCAGTATTAACTCTTCCTAAGTTCTTGAGATACACTGCAATTCAAACCTCAGCATCCTCCTGCTGAGGTTTCAGAGTGTCTCTCGGTAATTCCAAACGTGGTCATGCCTAGCACCTAAGCTGTGCAGTTCCAGCACTCATTTACTCTGGAGCTTGTATTTGATGCCTGTTGTCCTGTGAAACAGAGACTAGTTTGCATTTGGTGAAAGAGGAATCTATTTATAACCATGTTTTTATTTCAAACTGAGGAGCTTAACCCTCACAGAGAGAAATGTGTGAAATAAACTCTTCTCTTTTTTTCCAATTTAACTCTTCACAGGAGATTCAGCAATTCCTCAAAGTGACCAGAGTGAACAGGGCTTAGAAAGGAGTAAACACTCCACCAAACCCAACCCATAGCATGGTCAAACACTCAGGAAGTTGTTGGACATCTCAGATCTTTGAAACATTTCACACTAGCAACTCAACACATCCAGATGCTATGCATTGTCATTTGGTAGGAAAATAATATGCTTTGATAAAGCTTTTTTCCCCTTCCAGTCCCTAAAATACTTGTCCTGACAGCAGTTTGTTTTTTAGCAGCATACAGCTGGCTGAACATGGACCACAGTGTGCTGAAGTGGGCAGGAAGGCCAATGGCACCTGCTTATACCAGCCATAGTGTGGCAGCAGGACCAGGGCAGTGACTGTCCCCTGTGCTGGCTCTGCTGAGGCACCTCCAGTCCTGGGGGCAGTTTGGGGCCCTCATGACAAGAGAGATATTGAGGAGCTGGAGCATGTCCAGAGCTGGGGAAGGGGCTGGAGTACAAGGAGTGACTGAGGGAGCTGTGGGGGCTCAGCCTGGAGAAAAGGAGGCACAGGAAGGACCTTCTGCTCTCTACAACTTCCTGAAAGGAGGCTGGAGTCAGGTGGGGGTTGGGCTCTGCTCCCAGGGAACAAGACAAGGGTAAACAGCCTCAAGTTCTAACAGGGGAGGTTTAGGTTGGATATTAGGGAAAATTTCTCCATGGAAAGGGTTGTTCAGCCTTGGCACAGCTGCCCAGAGCAGTGGTGGAGTCACCACCCCTGAAGGTAGTTAAAAGCCATGTGGATGTGGCACTTGGGGACATGGTTAGTGGGGGCCTTGGTAGTGCTGGGAGAAGGGTTGGACTCAGTGACCTTAGAGGCTTTTTCTAACCGAAACAATTCTATGATTCTACAGCTTCTGTTTCCAGGCATTCAGATGGACACTCATTTGAAAAACATGAACATTAGTCATTGTGTTTCTTCCCATCCTTCACAGGAGAAGAAGAAAATCCTCATTTCCTCCGCCTGCAGCACACCTAACCTGGTTCTTCAGGGGTCAGTGATGTGCCTACGTGACTCCAGACACATTATCTGTAGCAGAATCCAGAAAGTTACATGTGTGTTCTCTCTCTCTGAACCGTCTCATAGACTGACAGAACTGGTGGCATCACAGAATACACTTATAAACCCTCTTGCTCTGACTCTTGGAACTGACTGTCAGATTTGAGCTGAAGAATAATTTGCCCTGGGGCCTGTCCCTGCTGCTTTTTTTAACCTCCTCCTGCATCACAGGGCAGGGTTTGACTGTTGCACTTATCTGAACACATCTCTTTGCTTTCCCGTAGCTGCAGAGGTCTCAGAAGTGAGACTCCGGGCTAGCCAGATTGTGAGGAGGTTAATCACACAAGGACTAATTAGACTTCATCCAGAGCAATCTGAGTGAAACTTAATGACCATGATTAAACAGGTGAGACAAGTGACCCACGAGTTGCTCAGTGCTTTGCAGAATCACAGAATGTTAAGGGGTTAGAACAGACCTTGATATCCATCTACTTCCACCCCCTGCCATGGGCAAGAACACCTTCCACTTGACCAGGCTGCTCCAAGCCCTACCCAATCTGGCCTTGAACACTTCCAGGGATGGGGCAGACACAGCTTCTCTGGGCAGCCTGTGCCAGTGCCTCAGCACCCTCACAATAAATGACAGGTCAGACTAAATCAATTAGATAAACCCCTTAAATTAACAGGCCACACAAACCAAAAATTCAACAGATGCCTGGAGAATGGGCATGGATTCAGTCTCTACTTAACCTGTGTGTTCTCCAGTGCTCGACTCAGCCTTCAGAGCCCAGGGAACACCTCCGTGCTGGGCACAGCAACTCTGCCTCAGCGGTCAAGAATCATCAGCACAGTGCAGAGATTATTTCTTCTGACTTGTGAGCCAGTGCAGAGCAGCAGCAGCGAGACTCTGGTTACACCTCCTTCCCAAAGGGAGAGAGAGGAGAACTCTGCTCTGAAAGCAGAGCTCTTTCCTAGACTGGATGTGAACCAGCAACGTTGTATCACTACGAAATCCTTCAGAACCTAGACTTGTTAGGACCTAATTTTACACTCTCCAGTGAGAAATCAGCTCCTTCACGAAGCTCTGCAAACTTCCACTTGCTAACAGCAAGGATATTTTCCCTTGAGAAGCAACTCCTGCCTACACCAGCACCTCATCCTCAGTTCTATCAGACAAGCAAGTCCATCAAGGTAACATCAGGGCTGGCAGGGTTTGAGGCAGTTTGTGAGGCGTTTCAGGGACAGAGCTCCACCTGCTGCACCCTCACACTTCGGTGGCACTTCCCACAATGCTGGCACCATCCAGCACCTTCTGCCTCCATGGAAAACCTGTGGAATTCAACCAGAAAGTGATTTCAATGCAACAGGTGGAAGTGAGCTTGACTTCCCTGAGGAGGTGCTTTGGCCTAGAGCAGCTTATCACAAATAGATGTTCCAAACATGTATAAAGCCAGAAATGCTCCCTTGTTTCCCTGTTCTCAGCAGAACAAGTCCAGGCATGATCCTGCTGGGAACACTGGGCTGCTCCAAATGACCTTACAAAGGGACTACGAAGGTACAGGATTTACCTCTTGTGCTCCTTAGCTCCCTGAAGAGGTAAGTCTTGAACATTTTACAAAGGCAATTCCCAAGAGAAGCTGCTGCTCCAATCCCTGGACATGAACAAGGAAAGGGGAGAGCTCCCAACGTTTCTCTAGGTCAAGTGTTCCTGGTTTCAAGTCCTTTCCATGTGGCAAAACAGATTTACTGGAAGAATTGTGGCAGCTTCCATTTTCCACATAATAAAAGGGATCAGGAGAGAAAATTCCTGCTTAAGAACAAATTTCATAGCTACTAAATGCAGTTTTGAAAAACAATTTCGTTGTGCACAGAGAACAAAGTCATTCCCAGCTGGAATTCTGTGAAAGGCTTTATTATACCAGAAATCAGGATATTAAGGTAGAAATCATCTTGAAACCACAATAAAAAAGGCAAAAGCAATGTGGAAATGCCAAAAA